ATTCATTATGTTGGACACTATATAAGAAATTTTCTGAGCGGGGATGGGGATGGTGGTCAAAACATAAACTTCCAGTTATAAGAGATAAGATTATACTGGGGATATAATGTACAACACGATTAGTATAATTAACACTGCTTTATGGTATATTTGAAAGTTTCTAAAAGAGTGGATGGATCTTAAATGTTTTCATCACAAAGAAAGAGGCATTTTTTTGGTGTTTATATGAGATGATGGATGTTTACTAAACTGAGTGTGGTAATCATTTCATTATATATGTAAGTCAAGTCATTATGCTGTCTATCTTAAACTTCCACAGTGCTGTATGGCAATTATATCTCATAAAACTGAAAGAAAAAATAAAAAGAAATTTCCTAATGATTGTACCTGTGATTATCTTGCTTTTGGAAAGGTGAAATTCTAATCACATTGGCTATATTTAGATTCAGATATTGAGGATAGTTTGGCTTAGAAAGCATTCCTTTCAGAAAAATGGTTAAAGATTACTTGGTACTTACTAGAAGCAAGCATATATCAAGCACTAAGTCAGGCTTATTTTTAATTCTCAGCTGACCAGTCAAGGTGGGTACTTTGCCATCATTTAATAGTTGAGGACACTGAGGCTTAGGCGGATTAATGGGCTCACCTGACTACAACATTAGAGTTTGCATTTTAAGAGGTCTGCTGATTAAAAAACCCAATCCTTTTACCCGGGTGGCTCTTAACAAGTGGTGCACATTTCAATTACCTGAGCAATTAAAAAAAATAAAATTTATTTAATTTTTAATCAAAGAAATATAGAGAAATCAAAATAATACTGTTAGACTGGTGGTAGAAAACAGCTGTCTTCCACCTTTTCTCTTTCCATCCCTGATTTTTTTCTTCAGACAACCACTTTTAACTCTTAGCTGCCTTGTATTGCAGTTTTTTTTTTTAAAAAAATAACATGTCCAATATTGCTTTTTTATTCACTGATTCTTCCCCATTACACACACCTCTCCTCTCCATCCCTCCCATGTTACATAATCATGTTCTATCCATATTCAGTGCTAACATAATTATGACTGACTTTATGACGAGTGTTATTCACAGCTGAGGTATGCAGCATAGTTCCTGAACAAGCTTTTATTTTTCCTGGGTTCATAATTGCCTCAGCTTTGTTTTCTTATTAAAAACAATAAAAATAAACATCTGCAGACCACTAATTCATCTCCAGACTCTCTGAAACACTCAAAATCTCAACTCTATATTCCAACATACCAGGTATTCATGCAGACCACTAATTCATCTCCAGACTCTCTGAAACACTCAAAATCTCAACTCTATATTCCAACATACCAGGTATTCATGCAGACCACTAATTCATCTCCAGACTCTCTGAAACACTCAAAATCTCAACTCTATATTCCAACATACCAGGTATTCAGTTTTTCTTTGGAGATTTGCCACCTGACACTCGTCATTAAGCATTCATTGACTTACTGCTGTTCTCTTCTACTCTCCTCCCTGTTTAATAGTTCCAATGCTATTTTAGCAACCTTATGGCCACCCTCTCAAAAAATGTCTTCTTTCCTCGTGAGCAGGACTGTATCTTTCAACTTCCCACTTTACATAAAGACCCCATTGCCACTCCATTTCCCTTCCTCTCCTCCCTTCAACACCCTCCCCCCGCCCCCCGAAAACAGTGCTGTTACATGATCACGGGTGACCACACTTGTATTCTACTTTGTCACCATAATTAAGTATCCTCTTAAAAGAAAAAGACGATAGACAGCATTCGCATAAATTATTCTGATTATTTAAATGTTATTCATTAAATAGCCAGGCTTTCTGCTGAACTGGGTTTCCTTTTCTTTGGCGCCAAGGTCTGGAACCGGGCCACTCACAGGGACGCCGAAACAGAGTCCACAGTCTTACACTCCAACCCTCTGCTCAAGATCCGGCAGCGTTTCACACTGTCTGACATCGGAAGGATGCTTTTCCTGTACAGTTCTTTTTAATCTCACTGAAAATTGACTGTCATTTTCTCTTGGGGGAATGAAGAAATACATGCCTTCCACGTCATATCCTTAAGATCTCCAGCTTCTTCACTCATTCAATCTCTTGCTTACAAGTCAACCCCAAATTCCCGAAATGGGTGATTTTTTAAAATCTTAATTTGAGCCATGAACTTGTATGTTACATTGGTTTCCTGAAAAATTCAGTCGCCTTCTGTTGTTGATAATACGCATCCTGTTCGTCCTGATTTTGTTTTAAGGGCGCACAGCTTCTTAGATCTTGTCGTGGGCCGTGATTAAATTCTCCCCTGTTACTGGACATCCCGTCTATCCTCTCCGGTCCCGGCAGGACTCCCGAGCCCGTCCGGGAGCTCGGCGGACGGCGGCGGCGAGTGCAGCAGCGCCGGGCGACCGGCCATTCTCGCGAGACCCAGGAGGCCGCGTCCGCAGCTCCGCTCCGCTCCGTCGCGGGGCCTCCTGGGAGTCCGCCATGGTGCCGGTCCGGAGACCGTTAGCGTAATCGCGACTCTAGAAATGTACCTGCAAGCGGATGTTGAGGATGACGGAGCCCGCGACGTAGAAGTACGGGAAATTCGAGCGCAGCTGCCAGGCCAGCTCGAAGAAGGCGAGCAGCGTGCGGGAGAGCCCTTTGCAGAACACCCCGTAGGAGCTGGGGGCGGCGGCCGGGCTCGAGACCCCGAGGGCCCAGGCAGACGGAGCCGCCACGGTGGCTATGGCCATGGCCCCGGTGTCGCCGCTCGCCCGGTGCTTGGTGCCGAGGGTCGCCGCAGGCCCCGCGGACCCGGACCGATGGCCGGGACGGCGAGGGTGGGGGCACTGAGCTGTGGCTGCGTCCCCTCTGCGGTGCAGCCGCTGCCTCCGGTGCGGCGCTGCCTGTCAGCCGCTGGCGCCCCGCCCCTTCCTGTCTCCTGTTAGCTTTAGAGTTGAACACGTGGTAGGTACAGGACGGTTTTTTCTCTCTATATTGCCATACACGTTATTTCATATCACACTTATGGGCAGCCATAGAGATAGGATTTTCTCTTTAAAATGAAAGTAAGCTTAGAAGGGGAAACACAAGGAATTAAGTATATTAATGTTTGGAGAGTTTTTTGTTTTGTTTTTAAATCTGTTCCTGTGTTCTTCCTTCGAAGTATCTTGTATTCTAAAACATATCCCTGGAATCGAAAATTTCCTCTATGCCAAGAAATAAGTACATATTTATAATTATAATTTTACCATGTTTTAATAAAATCAGTGCAGTTTTTAATTGCTCAAAGCCACCTGAAAATACCACAGCTATTGTTCTTCAAGATTTGTCCGTTACCTGTACTTGTCACTTACTGTTACCGTATTTACGGAAAACTTTGCTCCTAAATGAGGAACACTTTAAAAGTAGGGTAATTCTGGGGGGAAAAGACTGAGGACCATTAAGCAAAACTTCTCAGCTGCAAAATAATTGTTTTTAGACTCCAACAATATTAATTTCCTTCCTCGCTTCCTTCTTCTTTGCTGTACTCCTTTCCTCTTTCCTTCCTTCCAGGAACTGTAATCCTCCAACTGTGTTCTTTTATAAAAAATGCTTCTGGCTATTCTGGGCACAATGCATAGGCATCTACATTTTATGAATAGTTACTCACTTACTGCCATTAGAGCCTGCTGGAATTTGATAGGGGATTGAACTGAATATACAGATAATCTCTTTACCTGAAAAGATTCTCCTCTTTCCAGATCTTAAGTTCAATTGGCCTCCCTGCCTTGCTCAGCTTTCAGATGAATTTAAAATATAACTTTGGCAATTAACTCCCTTTATCTTTTTTTTTTTTAAATTTATTTTTATTTGTTGTTGTTGTCCTTTTTTATTGCTTAAAGTATTACAAAGGGTATTACTTTAAAAAAATATATATATATTTTATTGATTTTTTTTTTTATCGAGAGGAAGGAAGAGGAATAGAGAGTTAGAAACATCGATGATGAGAGAGAAACATCGATCAGCTGCCTCCTGCACGCCCCCCACTGGGGATGTGCCCGCAACCAAGGTACATGCCCTTGACGGGAATCAAACCCGGGACCCCCGAGTCCGCAGGCAGACGCTCTATCCACTGAGCCAAACTGGTCAGGGCTTTATCTTGGTTTTTATAGGAGGAAATTGTGCCTCTCACTGCTACATTGTACTCAAAAGCCTATGTTCTCCCAGGTTAACTCTGAAGTATCAAATAACACAGGATGAAATGAATAACAATCCTTAGTGACAGGTGTACTTATTAGGCACAATTGGAAGCACTCGACACAAATACTGGGTGTCCCCCCAAATATGTATACACACTTTAAACACTGCCTTTATAATTATTCAAAGTGTGTGCATACATTTGTGTGGGACACCCTATAGTATACTTACTACTCACAAAGACCACCCAAAGAGGATATCATTGTTTTCTGACTTTTGGTTTATGAACTGAATAAAACCCAACTGTACAGGCTGGTTTTAACACCTATTAATCTTTAAAAAACTAAGTAGTAAAAAATTAAAGAGAAAAATAAAAGCATATATTTATAAATAGGAGTCAGGAATCTGCAATGAAACACATTCTTTTGAAGTACTCAGTATTTATCAAATTTCTAAATATTTAAATATTAATATTTAAATATTAAATAGACTCAAAAGGGAAACTTTATCAAAGACCTAAGCATGAAAGATATGTGTGATTGCTGTTAATAATGGGTTGGAAGTCTGCATGGGAGAAAAGTCAGATTTAAACCTAAATGACCTCCTGACACTAATTTTTATATTTTGGAAAGTATAGAACACTTAATTCCATCCTTTAGATGTACGTGTATTTGTCTGAGTTAGTTGGGGGTGTGTTTATGAGCTTGTTGAAAATGTAGTTATGCAAAAGTATTAATTATCAGCAACCAGTTTTTATAGTGTTCCTGAGAAAATCTAGGATGATTTTGATAGGAAAAGCTTGAATTCTTTCCACATACTTCTAGGATTAAAAAAAATTCATAGTGATGATCACCCTAGTTATGACGAAGCTCTATTTAACAGTTTAGACATTCACTGCATATTGGGTTTTTAAATTTTACTAATAAACAACTAATGTTGAACACAAATTATGGAAAGGTCAAACAAGGGAAATATTGCAAAACAGTACGTCTTCATTTGCATCCTAGCAAATGATTATTCAGCTTTCACTTCAACATCAGTTATCAAGTAATGCAATCAGTGGCAGGGACACACACTGTTTGAATGGGAGTCCAAGGAAAACAATATCCTATATAATAAGAAAGGGATATGCTAATTAGCCTTTATGCCCTGAGGTGTAATGACTAAGCACCTTAAAACCAGATCATGGATGAGCAGGAGGGTGGGCCAGTGAGGTACTAGTGTGTTGCAAAGAGCTACAGGAGGGGGCAGTGCAGCAAGCATGTGGGAGGCGGAGAGCTAAAGGAGAGGGCAGGGCAACAAGCTATGGAGGGGCGGGGGGGGGGGCTATAAGAAGGCGGAGCAGCAGGCGGAGAGCTACAGGAGGGTGGCAGCGACCTACTGGCACACGGATTTGTGCACAGGGCTACTAGTTTTCCCATAAAGATAGCATTGAACTTTTCTGTTGGCATACCCTGAAGCTTTCCTGCTTGGCGTTGGTTGCAGAATTGAAACCAGAAATTCACTGCAAATTCAGAAAACAACTGCACATTGAGTTTAAGGTCAGAATATTAAAGGAATCGCGACCAGTGATATTAGACTTGGATTTCTTTTTCTTTTTAGACATCATGGCCTTACTACCAGCCATTCTTTCCAGCCTATTCACAATACAATTTGTTCTAGGATATTTTGCCAATGGCTTCATAGCAGTGGTGAACTGCATTGACTGGGTCAAGAGACAAAAGATTTCCTGTGCTGATGGAATTCTCACTGCTCTGGCAGTTTCCAGAATTGGTTTGCTCTGTGTACTACTATTAAATTGGTATGCAACTGTATTTAATCGAGCATTTTATAGTTTAGAAGTAAAACTTATTGTTCATATTGCCTGGATGACAAGCCACCATTTTAGTCTGTGGTTTGCTACTAGCCTTAGCATATTTTATTTGCTCAAGATAGCCAATTTCTCCAGCTTTTTATTTCTTCACCTAAAATGGAGAGCTAAACGAGTGGTTCTCATGATACTGTTGGGGGCTTTGGTCTTCTTGGTTTTTCGTCTTGCAGTGGTAAGCACAGATGAAAAAATGCAGATGAATGAATATAAAGGAAACATCACTTGGGAGACTAACTTGAGGGACATTATGCACCTTTCAAATCACACTTTATTCATGCTTTCAAACATAGTACCCTTTACTATGTCCCTGACAGCTGTTCTGCTGCTAGTCTTTTCCCTGTGGAAACATCTGAAGAACATGCAGCTCAGTGGCAAAGGAACTCAAGATCCCAGCACCGAGGTCCACTTAAGAGCCATGCAAACTGGGATCTCCTTTCTCTTGACATTTGTCATTTTTTTCTTCTCTCAAATCATCTCACTTTGGAATTCGAGTACTCAGCAGAACAACTTAGTTTACATGGTTTGCAAGGTTCTTGGAATCCTGTATCCGTCAAGCCACTCATTTATCCTGATTTGGGGGAATAAGAAGCTGAGACAGGCCTTCCTGTCATTTCTGTGGCAGTTGAGGTGCTGGCTGAGGAAAGGGAAATAAGTGGGGCACCTTGTGTCTTCTGGCAGAAAACAAACTGATGGAGTCCATAACATTTGTACTTCCTACTGCATTTCTTAATGTGTATAGAATTGGGTAAGTTACACCTAGAAAAACTTCCACTTAAGTTTATCACAAAAATATATATGTGTGTGCATGTTTATGACAAAAAGAGCATATGATTACCATTTTTTTTTAGGTAAGCAATCTAATTTTACAAAATAATGTAAGAAATTCTTCAGAATCATGAAGTCATGTATTTCACATACATATTCTATGTTATCCTCTTGAAATTGAAGAATTTGTGGTCTATATTTAGGCATTTTTAAGCACTGACAACCCATTTCAGGAAATCATTGCTACTTTCCATTGTAGTTAGTATCACACATGTACCACAGTGAATATAGACTTTGTTGTTTGAATCTGCAATCCTTTGGATGGTAAAGATATTCAGTTGTAAATCACACACTGAGAATAGATGCTTGGCATAGATATTATTCCATCATGAATTCTTACTTCATGGTTAATAGAAAGTAATTAGAACTGTTAGGAAAAGATGCATGCAGTGAAATGAAAGAGTGACAAACATTTAGAATGTATTTTACATGCATGTGCCATGTAAGATTATTGTATTTAACACAGGTGCTTAGTAACTAATCAAGTTCTACAATAGGGATGAAGAAGAAAGCAAAGAGATCATGTTATTTTAATGCTGTTATGGTTCACTATGGTGTTAGGAAATTTATTTCATACTGCCTTTTGTAAAGTAAAAAAAAAATGCCATTTAGTTTTCCCATAAACTGTGTTTGGGCCTCTGAATTGCCAATCATCTCCATCTCGCTATCTAAAGATTCCTTTTAAACTTTAGATAAAAATAACTAATAAAAATGAAAAGGCTTACTTTATGAGCTTGATGTTATGTATTTTATTCAGTTTTCCTATAGAAGATGATTTATAGAAGAAGAACACAAAAGATATGAATTGTAAGGCCTGGTAATACTAAGAGACCACATAAGGGAGTGGTGTTCAATTTCCCCTTGGGAGCCAAGATCAATTACCCCAGCCAGCACAGTGTCTCCCTTCTTTGCCTGTTGATAGAGGCTTAAGGAGTCAAAAGTGGTTGGATAGCAGTCTTAAGTTCCAGTTTGGTAAAATTGTTGCTATGTCTCTGGGTAGAAGTGTTCCTTCCTTTATGCAATGTCCTCCAGGCCAGCAACATAAGGTCGTAGGAAGAGGAAACAAAT